AAAAAAAAGGATTATATGGGGACTTTTTGTTCCCTATGTGATGGGACACTGCCCGTGGGCCCAGGGTCAGTAAGGGGCCCCATGAGATGCCCCTGGTACCTTTTTCATAGGCTTTTTTTGAGTTTGGGCAAGGACACAGGGGACCCATGATCCCCTATTGCCCGGGGGCCCCATGAGTTGTCAGTCCGCCCCAGTTCTAGGCCCATTATTCATGGTTAACACTAAACTGATTACCTGCGGGGGCTTTTAAAGCATCACCTAAGAAAAAAAATGGGGTACCGAAGTTTGCTACTGACTCATGGGTTAAACCTTGAGAGGTTGGATATCTATTTACTTAGCATAACCTCATCTTTTATATTGTATTTGCGTTACTATTTACTGAAATTTTGTGTTTCATAAACCATCGCACTAATATCTTGTGACAAAAATTTTTAAATATCACTATTTATTGTCTAGGGTGTCTGCTTTCAGAAAAAATATAATCTTTGGACCTAAAATGATCTTTTTATACATGTGTGCACAGAAACAAAAACAGCTCTAACAGGAAAAGAGTTAACTTTGCCATATTACTTTTTTCTGCATTTATATTTTTTAGCACTTATTCCCAAAAAAACCACTGATGTTTGGGTTCCTCCGTTCCTGATGTTAGTAACCCACTAGGCAGTACCGCACTCTCTGAAACACCAAGGCAGCAGGAATGGTTGTTTATTTGGGAAATGTACCCAATAAATTAAGACAGCAGTAACAATACCAATAAACAGTGGCAAATCAGATGCAATAAACAGTGCATACAACTTACAAATGAGATAATACAGTTGCAAGAAAAAGTATGTGAACCCCTTGGGATTACGTGGAGTTTTGCATGAATTGGGCATAAAATGTGCTCTGAACGTCATCTAAGTCACAACAATAGAAGAACACAGTCTGCTGAACATAATACTACACAATCATTAGATGTTGCCATGGTTTAATTGCACATAACATGTAAACATTCACAGTGCAGGGAGGAAAAAGTATGTGAACCTTTGGACTTAATAAGTGGTTGACCCTCCTTTGGCAGCAATAACCTCAACCAAACGATTCCTGTAGTGGCAGATCAGACCTGCACAATGATCTGGAATAATTTTGGACCACTCCTCTTCACAAAACTGTTTCAGTGTAGCAATATTCTTGGGATGTCTGGTGTGAATCGCTCTCTTAAGGTCATGCCACAGCATTTCAATCGGGTTGAGGTCAGGACTCTGACTGGGCCACTCCAGAAGGCGTATTCTGTGCTGTTGCATCCATTGTTTTGTTGAATTACTTGTATGCTTTGGGTCATTGTCCTGTTGCATCACCCATCCTCTGCGGAGCTTCAGTTGGCGGACAGATGGTCGTACGTTTTCCTGCAAAATGTCTTGATAAACTCTGGAATTCATTTTCCCATCAATGACAACAATCCGTCCAGGCCCTGAGGCAGCAAAGCATCCCCAAACCATGATGCTCCCTCCACCATGTTTTACAGTGGGGATGAGGTTTTGATGTTGGTGTGCTGTGCCTTTTTTTCTCCACACATAGTGTTGTGTGTTCTTCCCAAACAACTCAATCTTGGTTTCATCTGTCCACAGTATATTTTGCCAGTAGTGCTGTGGAACATCCAGGTGCTCTTTTGCAAACTTCAAACGTGCTGCAATATTCTTTTTGGACAGCAATGGCTTCCTCCGTGGTGTCCTCCCATGTACTCCATTCTTGTTTAATGTTTTCCTTATTGTAGATGTGCCAACAACAATGTTAGCATGTGCCAGAGATTTCTGTAGGTCTTTAGCTGACACTCTGGGATTCTTCTTTACCTCATGCAGCATTCTGTGCTGTGCTCTTGCAGTCATTTTTACAGGACGACCGGGCCTAGGGAGAGTAGCAACAGTGCTAAACTTTCTCCATTTGTAGATAGTCTGTCTTACCGTGGACACATGAACATCAAGGCTTTTGGAGATACTTTTGTAACCCTTTCCAGCTTCATGCAAGTCAACAATTCTTGATCGTAGGTCTTCTGAGAGCTCTTTTCTGTGAGGCATGCTTCACATCAGACAGTGCTTCTTGAAACCAGTAAACCCAAAACAGGTGTGTGTTTTTTAAGGGCAGGACAGCTGTCAGCAACACATCCAATATCATCACACTGATTGGAGTCAAGGTTGGCTCACTCCTGGCTCCAATTAGCTCTGGGAGAAGTCGTTAAGCTAGGGCCTCACATACTTTTTCCTCCCTGCACTGTGAATGTTTACATGTTATGTGCAATTAAACCATGGCAACATCTAATGTTTGTGTAGTATTATGTTCAGCAGACTGTGTTCTTCTATTGTTGTGACTTAGATGACGTTCAGAGCACATTTTATGCCCAATTCATGCAATCCCAATCTCCACGTAATCCCAAGGGGACCTGAATCATGTATAATGGGTTCCCAACAACCTGGTTAAAAAAAGCTCAGACCTCCTAAGCCCTGAGTTAAAGGGTTGCTTTAACTATGCGAGATGAAACTAAAAAGAAAAAAAGTCTCTCAGCGCTCTCAACTTAGTACATGAACAATAATCAAATAAGCATTTAAAAAGTACTTATTTCCAATTCCTATTGGTGGAATCTCCAGAGTTAATGATATAACAAAGTCCTGGCTCAGGATGATGGGTACAAGTATTCAGCAGCCTTAATGATTATATGGAATGAAGACCGGGGATGGGTGGATGAGAGGATGGATGGAGAGCTCTAATAAACTTTTGCTGCTTAGCACATCAGATCAGGGAGGAATCCTCAATGGTATATAGAAGACATCAAGGTAGCCAAAGCACAGAAATTAGTAAAAACAATGTGTCATTTATTAAACAAACAAATATCCAAACTTAAATTCAAGTTAGAGAAGCTCTGCTGAGCTCGGTCTACAGGTCCACAGGAAACCGGACCTTCTGTGTAAGGACGGAAAGTAGCAGCATCACTGGCCATCCTCAATAAACCTGTCATACACTGGGAAATGCAAAGGGGCGTGTACAACATGTTTCAGAGGCCCTGCCTCTTTGTCAAGTACAATCAATCACAGAGCAGGAACAGCTATTATACTGGTGTCCGAAAGACGGTAATCAGGAAGAAAAATTAAGCGGGAGATGAAAGTGAGGTGATAGCTTTGAAATGACTAATCGGCAGGCTGATATATATATATATATATATATATATATATATACGTATATATATACTGCTCAAAAAAAATTAAAGAAAAACTTTGCAAACACATCAGATATCCACGGGAAAAAATCTCATACTAGATATCTATACTGATATGGACTTGGTAATGTTTTAGGAACGTAAGGATGTCCTATTGTTTGATGGAAATAAAAATTATCAACCTACAGTGTGTGTGTGTGTGTGTGTGAAAGAACTGAGGCTCAAAACAGCTTTATGCAAAATGTTTTCTAAAGGAAATAGAAGTGGATGTGTGGAAAGTAACATGTGTACAATGTTTTCAAATGTTTAAAATAATGACAGAATGTATTCTCACACATTGAGAGACTGAAAAAAAGGAAAGATTGTAGCATCACACTCAAGTGGGGAGAAATTGACAGGTCTGTGTGAATAAACACAGAAACAAAGTAGGGATGGATAAAAGCTAAGCACGTGGGAGAAACAACAATCACAGGTATGGGAGTCAGGTAAAAGAAATGTCTACAGAATGAGGTATTTTAAAATACAATCCAAGGCAGCATTGTGACAATTATCCATAACAAATATGTAAAAGCAAAGAATTGAAAATTAAACCTATATATAGAATATGGTATTAATAAGAGTATACCTTAATCTTAAAGAGATAAAATCACAAATTAGTAATAGCATAAAAATGGAATGATAGATAGATAGATAGATAGATAGATAGATAGATAGATAGATAGATAGATAATACATTGATGATAGATAGATAGATAGATAGATAGATAGATAGATAGATAATACATTGATGATAGATAGATAGATAGATAGATAGATAGATAGATAGATAGATAGATAGATAGATAGAAGATAGATACTGTAGATAAAAGAATGTTCACATATTCCAATATCCACATCCAAACATGGATACATAATTGATGCATCTATTTTGAGCCTCAGGACTTTGACATATATATCAGTCTGTCAGCCTGCCGATTGGTCATTTCACAGCTGTCACCTCATTTTCATCTCCCGCTTAACTTCTGGTTCTGGTTTACCCAGCTTTCAGCCACGGGTATAAAAACCATTCATGCCCTGTGCTTGATTGTACTTAACAAAGGAGGCAGGGCCTCTGAAACGCATTTTACATGCCCCCTTCCCAGTGTATGTCAGGTTCATTGAGGATGGCCATTGATGCTGCTGCTTTCCATCCTTACACAGCTGGTCCGGTTTCCTGTGGATGACATCTGTAGCTGTTCTGTAGACCAGGCTCATCATTCTCACACATATACTGTCATTTCTTTGATCAAGCAGCACTTTTCTGACTTGACACTTTGTTTTTACTAATCCCTATACTTTGGCTACCTTGTTGTCTTCTAACTATGAGACATGCTTACAGAGCTTTAAAATTTTGGAGTTTTGTAATCCCAACAGGAAAAGGGAAACTCTCCAATGAACAAAAACCTGCAGATTTCTGAAAGGGGTAGTGCTGTTCCTTTAAGCAGAAATGTAAGATGATGGCTAAATGTCTCTTACCACTCTGGATTCCACCAAAAAGACTGGGCTGTACAGCACAGAGTCTCTGGATTCCATTGAAAGCAGTTCCCACAGTATCTGATATGGTGGCAGCACACACTGCATGCAGCAATTCATCACTCAATACTATCACAGCAGGACTGCCTCTATCTGGGTTAACATTCAGCTACAATCTCTCTGTAAATAGGCAGGGACAGCCCCAAGCAGGTGGATTTCCACATTCAGCAGTGAAACAGGAGCAGCAGCAGCAGCAGCAGCAGCAGCAGCAGCAGCAGCAGCAGTGATTTTTCCTGGTCACAGTGGCAAAGACAGAGTCTGGAGCAGGGGTGGACTGACAACTCATGGGGCCCCCGGGCAATAGGGGATCATGGGGCCCCTTGTGTTCTTGCCCAAACTCAAAAAATCCTATGAAAAAGGTACCAGGGGCATCTCATGGGGCCCCCTACTGACCCCGGGCCCTCGGGCAGTGCCCAAGTTTCCAAATGGTCAGTCCGCCCCTGGTCTGGAGTACATATCAACCATGGTCTCAAAACAGCAACCTAGATCGCAATACACACCATGCAGCACATAGCTTCCCTCTCTTCCACCAGTGCAGTTGTCGCCCTGCACTCTTCCAGCAGTAGTCTGTGTCCTTCCTACTCCAGATCTCTGCAGCACACACTGTCCTCTTGTAATAAACTCAGCACCTTGCTGCCAGTCACAAGGGCTTCAGCCAGCACACTTTTTCCCACTCACTCTCCACACATGACTCTCCCCCCATGGCAGGATTTTACAGTTCACCTTCTTTCCTCAGCAACTCCCCCTTCTAGGACTTGTAGTCCCACACAGTCTTTCTTCAATTTTAGCTACTTTCCTGCAGACTATATTATTATACAGGATTTATATTGCAAAAAGATTTGCTTAGTGCTTACAATCTGAAGGGAGACAGTACAATTACAATATATATAAATACAAGAGGGTTAAGAGGGCCCTGCTTATGAGCATACAATCTAGGAGGTTGGGGAAGGTGGAAGTAAAGGTTATAACTGTGGATGAGAGCTAATGGATACAAGTTCAGTTAGTTGGAGGTGTGATATGCTTCCCTGAAGAGATGAATTTTCAGGGATTGCCTAAAGGCAACCAGAGGAGGAGATAACCAGACAGACTGAGGTAGAGATCCATAGGATCTGAGAGGGTCTGGAGAACTCCTGGAGATGAGCAAGGGAGGAGGAGACAAGAGAGATTGAGAGCAGGATGTCTTGAGAGGATAGTTTGTGTGATATTTGAAGGCAAGATGGGTGATGTAGCTTGAGACAGAGTTGTGGATGGCCAATAGGAATCTTCCTTCTGCTCTCCCTGTTGAGTGGGGAGAGACAGAGGAACTGAAGTAGCACAAAAGTATGAGTGAGCTACTGTGCTGCTGTATTCCGTAAAGGGTCAATGTGATCAGGCTACATGTGTTTCGTCTTTAAAGTAGATTTAACCATATTTACATGCATTTAGGGTTTATAATTGGATCCTGAAGACACATAATTCAATATTTGGAAAATGCAGCTAAAGAGACCACACCTATATGCAGGTAAACACTCCACTGAAAAATCATTCCATGCACATATATACATTTTTAAAGGTCCCCTAAATTCATGTAAATGCAGGTTTGACAGTGCCAGTGTGAATGAGTGTTGCTGATTTACTAAAGGCAAAATGGATGTTTGCTTCACAAGGGAAATATATCTTTGCAAAGGAACTTTCCCCAGAGTTTAGTGAATGAGGAGAAGCTCTGCTGACTTCCATGCATGCAAAAATGCATTTTTGTTTTTTTTTTACTTTCCTATAATCTGATATTTTCTGAAGTGAAACTTCACCACGTCCACAAAGCTCTGGGGCACACTTCAACTTTTCTTGCAAAGTGAACAGTCTGTTTTTCTTGTATAAGTCAACCTCAGTGTCTAACAATTTACTTTGATATGATTATTGTCTCACTGATGGTGGGAGAAAAATTTGTGTCCTGTACAAGAAAAATCTACCTCTTTGTCTCTGCCACCTTTAGGTACCAGCCTATTGATTCTAATGGTAAATTCAGAGGTGGACTGACAACTCATGGAGCCCCCGGGCAATAGGGGATCGTGGGGCCCCTGTGTCCTCGCCCACACCCAAAAAAGCCTATGAAAAAGCCAATGAAAGGTACCAGGGGCATCTCATGGGGCCCCCTACTGACCCCGGGCCCTCGGGCAGTGCCCGAGTGCTCAATAAAATAAAATAAAATAAACATTTTTTTCATTAAAAAGGCAGAAATATAAAAACAGGTTAGGGGAGCCTGGTTGGGAATGGTAAGTAGGGATGACCCTGAGCTCAGTCCAAAACTGGGTTTGGTTTAAAACTGGAAGTCAGTTGTCATTCCTGGGTCAATGAGCTGCAGGCAGGAGATACCCTCTATGCATCTGCATGTAAACAAAGGAGAGGGGATGATTGTGACATCATTGACCTAATATGGTTATATGACCATGTTAGGTCAATGATATTGACCCAATGCAACCATGGGCCCATATTTGCTCAATGACCCAAACTCAATAACTCATTACTACTGGTATTTTTACTGGTAATTGTATTCTTCTTTTGCAGGCTGGTCTTTTGTAGCAACACAATCACTTTAAAGCTTTCCTAGGTAATGAAAGACAAGGTTGCAAGAATCAGTTCATTCCTACAGGAAGACCAAAAGCTTTGAGCTGTTAATGCTATTTTTATTCCAGATACAATAAACAGTAATTCTTGGGTGGTTAACTTGGTGAATTTAATATTGTATGTCTTTGTGCATTTTTTTTCATATTTTTATATATGTTCCATGCTCTAATGAACAGGGATAGTATAGACAAATTATACATCGTTGTACTATAAAATATCTGGTAAACCTCAAAATTCTATTTGTAAAGGATTTACTGTGCAATTCGCACAGCAAACATTTGCTGGAGAATCATTCTTTTGCATTGTACAGCATTCAGCTATCATTTTTAAGATGGATTCACCCTATTCACCTATAATTTTCAAAAGGGATTCACCCATCGCCATACAGCATAATAAAGAGATTCCATTTTCAAGATTCATCTGTCACATCTGTGATCAAACAAGATTCATCCATCAGCTTAAAACACAATTTATTCCAATCATAAACAAGATTCAGCTGTCACATTTAAATTCAAACAAGATTCACCCATCAGTATTAGTATACAACAAATAAGAGGGATCTCAACTGCAAACAAAATTCACCTATCACATTTAAAAATCAAGCAAGATTCACACATCAGTTGTTTCATTAAAGATATAGTGATTTTTCTTAAAATGATAGCAAAATGCTAAAAAAAATAAAGATGATCGAATGTTCAGGAAGCATTTGCTCTGCAAATTGAACATAAATGCTTCATAGATAGATCATATGTCAAGTAAGCACTAAACAAAACTTTGAGAGTATTTTTAAATTGAGCTATTGCAAATACCTGAATTTCACTTCATATAGCCTCTTGTAACCTCCTATACAATAGAAACCAGACTGGTGCACACAGGATGACAAGAAACATTCTCACAGGAGGAAAAAGTAGGGTGAGTAGAGGGATGAGCACATCAGTCTGCTGCTGCAGACTTCATTGCTTAACTGCAGTAGTGAAAAGTTGGGTCACCAACTAGATTTTTCTGTCTTGCAGGACTGTGTAAATTTTGGGATTTCCTGGACAGAATTACATATACTTGGCAGGTAACAAGTATCCATATTGTTTTTTTAACTGTGTACTTAGTGGTTTTCCTGGAGTTCTGCTTAAGAAAACCAGTTTTCCCCATGAAACTGTCATCTTAGACTCCTAATATAGTTTTTATTTTTACTTCTTAGTGAGAGCAAAATTATCCTTTGTCCTGATAACTACATACAGTTACTATTAATGGTATGTTCAGTTTGCATATTTATCACATTGTAAAATAATATATTGGCATTTCTTATGGATTGATAAATATAGATTTTCAAAGCTATCTGAACAATGGAGCTATCATTCATTTGTACATACAAAAAGGGTCAAGTAATGAATTTCATGCAGCCTAAGAAGATGACAAGTTCTACCAATCAGGTGGCACTTATTATTCAAAAGAAATGTGATCAACTGCTGAGGATAATATAATTATTACTGTGCCATGTCCGTAAATTCCATAAATGCATAAACTATGTCAGATTAATTATAACAAAAGGATAACAGTGACACCACTGAAATGAAGGATAATATTACCCACACACAACAAATGTCTCAAGCTGGCCATACACTATGCAAATTGTGGCCAGTTCCTTATGAACCGGCCAAAATTACTTGGTGTGTAGGCAGATTCAGTTAGCTACTATGCCACCAAGTGGCTCTGTTTACCAGAATAGTGTCTGGTACAACAGGTATTAGGCCCCTCAAGTGATGTCAGGGGTGAGACAACACCCACATATAAGCTAGGTGGGTAGAGGACACAGAGTCTTGGGGCATTGGAGCTAAACACCCCACACCTGTGAGCATGTAGCAGGAGGCTGGGTGGAGAGGACTTGTATGCAGGAGGAGCCAGCTGTAGTCACTCTGTTTCTTAAGGATTTGAGGTCTAGGGTGGAGGCCAGGCTAAAGATCCCTGTGTGAGACTGCTTCCCTGGAGGGTCCCCAGGGGAGATGTACTCCATCTAGGAGGCATCTAAAGAGAGCACAGTCCTGTAAGTACTGATGACCCTTGGCAGAGGAGAGACTGAAGGGAAATGGCTGTTAGAAAACTGCATGTTTTCACCTGTGACTACAGTGAACAGTCCACTATATATGATTGACTGTATGTCAAGTGACTCCTGAATGTACAGTATATCCTTGTGATGTGACTGTAATGCTGTTTCCTGATCAACAGTGGTCATTTGGGGAGGTTTGGTGCTATACTGGCATTTCAGGGCCTCCGGAACTGTGATAGGTAGTCAGGAAGTGTATTGAGGAAATAAAGCCCTTTAAAAGCCTGATGGTGCTTATTGGATTTTGGGGTCCTGTACTTGGCTAGACTGCCAAAATGTCTCTCACATGTGGTACCCCCATACTCGGGAGAAGTAGCAGAATGTGTTTTGGGGAGTAATCACACATATACCCATGGCATGTGTGAGCAATAAATTTATTAAGTGACAATTTTGTGTAAAAAAAAGAAAAAAAAAATTTTTTGTTTGTCATTTTCCAAAAACTTGTGGTAAAAAAATAAATTCTTATATTGATTCAACATGCCTCTCAGCAAATAGTTTGGGGTGTCTACTTTCCAAAAAGGGGCCGTTTTGGTGGGTGGGGGCATTTTATGCCCAGCATTAGAAGTTTATGCCACACATCACTCACTCTTCTAACCACCTGAAGACCAAGCATTTTCTGACACTTTTTGTTCACATGAAAAAAATCTGTATTTTTTGCTAGGAAATTAATTTAAACCCCAAACATTATATATTTTTTTAAAGCAAACACCCTAGTGAATAAAATGGCTAGTGCTGCAATTTTTTATGTCACATAGTACTCGCGCAGCAATTTTTCAAACGCAATTATTTTAAAAAAATACACTTTTTTTAATTTTAATGCACAAAAACAAAAATATTGGCCAATTATTTGGTAACATATAAAAGATGATGGTATGCCGAGTACATAGATACCAAACATGACATGCTTTTAAACTGCATATGCCCCGTGCAATGGCGACAAACTGCATACGTTTTTAATATTCATAGGCAACATTTTAAAAGCCTTTACAAGCTACCACTTTAGATTTACAGAAGAGGTCTAGTGTTAATTACTGCCCTTGATCTGACATTCGTGGCGATACCTCACATGCGTGGTGCAACCGCTGTTTCCATACTGGCACAGGGTCAACGCTGATGAACGTAGCTGCACGCGTGTGCGCGGGGGGGGCGAGGGTACTTTTTTTTTAAAGTTATTTTGATTTTTTAAATTATTTTTACACTGTCTCCTTCATTTTTTTTGATCACTTTTAATGCTATCACAGGGAATGCAAATATCCCCTATAACTTCAATGGGCATTGTAAGGACAGACTCTGGATATCTCCTCTGCCCTTACATTATCTAATCAAACCAAGATTGGTGTGATCAGATGCTTTCCCAATTTACAATGGCGTTGTATATATCCTGTGAAACTGAAGTGATGAAATGCTCCTAGCTTCCGAGAAGGCAGTGGGGAAGTATATTGTCGTTGAAATGCATAAAACACATTAAACTCTCATTTCTATGCCTGGCCATGGCAGCAAAGAACATGGGCATGGGCATATGATGAATCGGGTTTGTGGACCAATACAACCGCAAGTCATTTTTTTAGTAATGCCAATGTTGAGGGTTAGGTCCAAAAAAAAATAAAATTTGGAAACCGTAATGAGTTTCCATGCAAATGGTCTGGCAAGGTTTGAATTTGGGTTGGCAGTGATAAATTGTTGTGCAAATAAATCGCTTTGATCCACAATCAATGCATACAGATCTTCCGTGAAAAACAGCTCCAAAAAATCAAGGGGAGTAGTTAAATTTGCTATTTCCACCTGAATTCTGGATTGGGCAGTGAATGGAGGAAGTACGGGTGCTGCAGAATTTGTGGGCTGCCAATCGGGATTTGTAAGCACATCTGGAAGGATACTTGGGGCTCTACAGGCCTGTGAGCGAATTCTTGGTGGTTGCAGGACAATACTTGTGTTCGCCACCGCACCAGCTTGTACTGCACTTATGGGACTCGCCACGTCACCAATTGATACTGCAGTGCTGGTATTTTTTATTATACAGGATTTATACAGTGCCAACAGTTTGCTCAGCGCTTTACAATATAACGGGAGACAATACAGCAACAATACAGTTCAATACAAGAGAGTTAGGAGGGCCCTGATCCTGCAAAAAAAAGCACTGACACTGTACTAATGGCACTGGGGAGGAAGGGGATAACATTTTTAGGCAATCAAAGGGTTAACTGTGTGAGGGGAGTGTTTTACTAGTGGGCAGGGTGTGTGTTCTTCACAGGAACACACTGTCTCGGAAAGCTAAGCTCTGCTCTCCGGAACAGTGTGCTGGAAACTGATAGGGAGCAGAGCTGCATTGAAAACAAAGCAGCTGTGCTCCGTGTCAGTGTTTGCTGGCAATCGCCGGGACCTGGCGGGTAATCACTGGCTGGGACCCGGTGATTGACACCCACGGCCGTGATCAATGCTGCGGGCAAGGCGGTCATGCGTCTCATGCGCACCCACTAACATGTAAACAGGATGACATTTATAGACGTGATCCTGCCTACAGGGGCCGCTTTGCCGCAGTAAATGTACTGTGGGCGGTCCCCTAGTGGTTAACATACTGGAAAATAGATGTTTTGTTTATTTTGCTACACTGATTATATAGACACAGGTCAGAGAAACATGGACCCAGCACAGAATGAGGAGTGGATATGCACAGTGGATACAAGTAATAATATCAAAGAAAAATTATTATGTGAAGGTGCATGTACAGGCAGGAGGAAGCCTTTCACCAGTCTCTTTTCCAGTGATCAAATTGCAGCATTGAAATTTTGTTGTAAGACACAAGGTAAAATACTGCACCAGGGGCTGGTCTGTATTGGACATTTGTGAAAAAACTGCACAGACACTAAGATTTATAAGATGAGGTCATATCTGAGCCAACCTCTCAGTTCAGGAAATAGATGCTGAGTCTTTATGATGCTAGAACAAAAATGGTGCTATTCTTCTAAAGAGAAAGTCTTATAAAGACATTATTAGACATTTTAGTATTATGAGAGGCCATTAACACCCGTAGGTGTTATATTAAAACATTAATTAGTGTGCTTGCACTTAATTTGAAAAAAAAAATCTGATTTTAGGCCCAATTGAACTATAAATTGTTTTCAAAGATTTAATCAGTTTAGTCCTAAGATGATATCCTTTGGGTGCTTGTATTACAAGAAAGAGAAGTTCTGCATTCAAATATTAAACTGCACTGAACTCTAAAAAATATATATTCTTAACTCACAAAAAGTACATTCTATTGGGCTTAACCTCCTCCAAATCTCCAAATTTCTTTTTTTTTCTGCAGGTGTGAACTGACTTCCTGTTCATTCTCTATGTTCTCACAGTAAGGAGGAGTGCAGCCACCCTCTCTTTCCCAACTCTCATATTAGGGACTATGAAGCAAGGGAATAAAGAAAAAGTTCACTAACTCACAAAGACTGTTACAAGGAGACCGAAAAACACAGTAAGAAACTATTTCATGAAAAATAGATTACAGGGCCATTAAAAGAGAAGTATGGCCAAAGCTTTTTTGGCCATGCTTCTCTTGTGGATCACAGGAGTGCAATTACTTATTAGCCAACAGCAGGCTAAAGTTTGCTGTTGGCTAACATCACATTGCCACTCCAGGCTCTGGAAGGATCCTGACCATTTTCTCATGATCCACCCAGTTGCCTGAATGACAGCTGGCTTCGGCTTTCAGCATGCAGATGAAAGCCGGAGTCAGCTGTGCCCACCTCCTTTCCAGCCCAGCGTTCCAGTGACCACTAAAGGGACAGAGTAGAGAGTGGTGACTGACAGTCACTGCTCTCTGCTTAGAGCTGACCTGAGAACCGAGCATCAGTGTTCATCTGATCGTTACATAGTTACATAGTTCGTCTGGCTAAAAATAGACAGAAGTCAATCCAGTTCAACCATTAAAAAAAAAAAGTTATAATCTACACTCACAGTTGATCCAGAGGAAGGCAAAAAAAAAACAGCAAAGCATGATCCAATTTGCTCTTGCAGGGGAAAAAATTCCTTCCTGATCCCCCGAGAGGCAATGAGATATTCCCTGGATCAACGTTACCTATAAATGTTAGTATCCAGTTATATTCTGTGTATCCAAAAAAGAATCACGGCCTTTTTTTAAAAGCAATCCACTGAGCTGGCCAAAACCAACTCTTGAGGGAGTCTATTCCACATTTTCACAGCTCTTACTACGAAGAAATCTTTCCATGTTTGGAGATTAAATTTCTTTTCTTCCAGACGTAAGGAGTGCCCCCTTGTCCTCTGTGATGACCTCAGTGTGAATAACTCAACATCAAGTTCACTATACGAACCACTGATGTACCATATTTTTCACACCATAAGAAGCACCTGACCATAAGACGCTCCTAGGTTTTAGAGGCGAAAAACAAGAAAAAAAATATTTTGAACCAACGGACTGCAGACATAGTACAGGAGATTACTAGAGACTGCAGACATACTACAGGAGATGAGCAGAGACTGCGGACATAGTACAGGAGATGACCAGAGACTGCGGACATAGTACAGGAGATGACCAGAGACTGCGGACACAGTACAGGAGATGACCAGAGACTGCGGACACAGTACAGGAGACGACCAGAGACTGCGGACACAGTACAGGAGATGACCAGAGACTGCGGACACAGTACAGGGAATGACCAGAGACTGCCGACACAGTACAGGGGATGACCAGAGACTGCGGACACAGTACAGGGGATGACCAGAGACTGCGGACACAGTACAGGGAATGACCAGAGACTGCGGACACAGTACAGGGGATGACCAGAGACTGTGGACACAGTACATGGAATGACCAGAGACTACGGACATAGTACAGGGAATGACCAGAGACTGCGGACACAGTACAGGGGATGACCAGAGACTGCGGACAGTACAGGAGATGACCAGAGACTGCGGACAGTACAGGAGACGACCAGAGACTGCGGAGACAATACAGGAGATGACCAGAGACTGCAGACACAGTACAGGAGATGACCAGAGACTGCAGACACAGTACAGGAGATGACCAGAGACTGCAGACACAGTACAGGAGACGACCAGAGACTGCGGACACAGTATAGGAAATGAGCAGAGACTGCAGACACAGTACAGGAGACGACCAGAGACTACGGACACAGTACAGGAGATGACCAGAGACTGCGGACACAGTACAGGAGATAACCAGAGACTGCGGACATAGTACAGGAGATGACCAGAGACTGCGGACACAGTACAGGAGATGACCAGAGACTGCAGACACAGCACAGGAGATGACCAGAGACTGCGGACACAGTACAGGGGATGACCAGAGACTGCGGACAGTATAGGGGAAGACCAAGAGACTGCGGACAGTATAGGGGATGACCAGACTGCAGACAGTACAGGGGATGACCAGAGACTGCGGACATGGTGCAGAAAATGACCAGAGACTGCGGACAGTGCAGGGGATGACCAGAGACTGCGGACAGTGCAGGGGATGACCAGAGACTGCGGGCATGGTGCAGGAAATGACCAGAGACTGCGGACAGTGCAGCAGATGAACTGCATATTCCAGATGAGGTATTACTAATGATCTGTACAGGGGTAATATGATATCTCTCTCTCTGGAGTCTATACCTCTTTTAATACAAGGGCAGATTTTGCTGGCTTAAGAAACTGCAGCTTGGCATTGCATGCCATTATTAAGCTTGTGATCTACCAGAACTCCCAGATCCTTCTCCACCATTAATTCCCCCAGTTGTACTCCTCTTAGTATGTATGATGCATGCATATTCTTAGCCCCCAAGTGCAACCTTACATTTATCAACATTAAACCTCATTTGCCACATAGTTGCCCAATTAAACAGTGCATTGAGGTTGGCTTGTAAGCTGAAGACATCCTGTAAAGACGTTATTCCACTGCTCAGCTTGGTGTCATCTGCAAAGACTGAAATGGTATTTATAATCCAAGACCCTATATTGTTTATAAATTTATTAAAAAGTAAGGGTCCCAACCAGGGGCGGACTGACCATTTGGAAACTCGGGCACTGCCCGAGGGCCCAGGGTCAGTAGGGGCCCCATGAGATGCCCCTGGTACCTTTATCATAGGCTTTTGTGAGTTTGGGCAAGGAGGACACAGGGGACCCATGATGCCCTATTGCCCGGGGGCCCCATGAGTTGTCAGTCCGCCCCTGGTCCCAACACTGAACCTTGGGGTACACCACTGACAACCCTAGACCATGCAGAGTATGAATCATTAACCATTACTCTCTGAATATGGATCTTTTAGCCAGTTTTCTATCCATTTACATACAGACTTTACCTTACACATTAGCCGTGTGTGGGGAACTGTGTCAAACGCTTTTGCAAAATACAAGTATACCACATCCACCGCCATCCCTCTGTCCAAGGTTTTGCTCACCTCATAAAGAGAAATCAGATTTGTTTGACAACTTTTGTTTTTCATGAATCTATGCTATCTGTTGCTTAAAATATTTTTTTCCGTTCTTGAGCTTAGAGCTGGTGAGAGCAGCTGCAGCATCAGACCAAAACTGCAGCATGGAGGTAAGTATGCGCATTTGTTTTTATGTAAACCCCAAACTTTGGGGAGTAGTGGATGCGTATGGATATTTTTTTTAAAAAACTTTAAGGATATCATTTAGTGTCACGTTAAGCCAAATTAGATGCATAAATCCTCTTGCTACCAGAAACCTATCTTTCATCCCATAATCTTCCTTCCTTTCTTGGTTTACTTCAATACTAAATCCAAAGTCATCCAATCTGTACCTATAAATGCAGAATTTTTGCATTCTAAGAATCTACAAAGATATCAATAGGGGATAATTAATTTTATCTGGTCCATCAGGATCCTTGCTAATAACTACTCCCCTAATTTGTATACTGCTAAATATATTTCATAATTTTTAAGCTAATTAGAAGTACTCTAAATGACCAAGACCCAATCTTACTGGCCAGGGACTGAAACATTGTTCTGGCCTTCTTTAGGTTTTTATTTTTAAAGATGCTATGTGATGCTTACTGTATATGTGAAAGACATAGAATTCACCTTTTCATCCAATCTTCATAAAAAATATAAATAGCTTCTTCTTCAATTCTAACAGCTTTCAGTGTACTAGATCTGACTATAAAATAAGCAACATGAATAAATGCAAAATATATTAACTTTTGTTGATCTTCTCACCAAATCATTTCTGTGTTGAAAAAGGCATAAATATATAAGCAATGTTTTAATTCTTATAAACTACTTCTAAATGTTTTTTTATTGGTGTACCTCTTTCCTTACAGAAAGGAAATTATTTAAATAATATCACAACAGTTCTAGAGAAAAAAAAAAAACAGTCACCATCAACCTTGTAAATTTACTCTGCTTGCTTTAAATCCCAGTTATTTAAATGATATCTTAAATACAATCTGTACTATGCCAATCAAAATTATGGTAAAACTGTACCTACAAGAGAAAAATGTCAGACCCTCCAGAACTTGCTTTCTGGAGCAGAATGCATTTGTATTGCTTCTGCTGAACACTCCTCTAGCAGCAAGTACGTTTTTTGATCATGATGAAAAAGAAGATCTCTGGAGAAAAAATGCCATTCCTGGCTTTGATTGTCTCAACCTTTCTGCACAGGAGGGGCTGAGAGTGTGGGTGAGGGTCAGCAGCAAGGGCTTGAGAGAAAAAACTGAAAGATTGATAAAAGTTTTGAACAATGCATGCCACTGGATGAAGGATCTACACTAAAAGAAATTAGTTGAAATGAAGTCAGTAGAGCATTCAAGCTAAGAGGTCACTGTAGGCTGTATGCATTCATGTGCCTGTTCTGCTTCTATATAAAAGGAGAAGAGAGATGTGGTAAAACATTGCATAGAAAGCTCACGTTTTGCATCATACAAAAATTACAAAACAGAACATTTTGTGTGCCAAAAAAGTTGTCAGTTTCAAGCATTTTTTAAATTTAAAAACTATGTCAAAATAGGTATGTGTAACAAAACCTAGTTTTCTAAAACCACATGAATGTGTGCCTGTTAGGAATGAAGTTCAGTTTTGGGTCTAATATGGGTTCAAGGCAGATCCTTCATGTTCAAGTTTTAATGTTACAGGAACACTTGTTTGAGAATTCACCTGGCCGAATTCTTTATAGACATAATACACTTCCTGGCCTTGGAACCTAGGTCAGCTGGCTTAAAAGGGCCAATAATGGGGAGTTTTTTATGTGCTACGTCTCTAAAGATGGGCACAGAGCAGCCATAATGTCAGTGTATTGAAAGCTGCTGTTGAGAAAGTATAGACAGACTTCAAAGGAAATTATTAGGGACTCATTGCTAACTTTTTGAACAATTAGTCCCTTTGCTGTCTTTCTGTTCTTAATATTGTGGACATATATTTTTTCACTGCAAGACCTCCCTTTAAAATGGAGATTTTCATTTATTTTTTGGGTATATTTTTAATTTTACGTTCATAGGGTCTTTTGTTTGGCTTAAACTTTTTTATTATTAGTAGTAGTATTATTACTTGGGGGGTTTATTATTATTTTAATTTATTTTACGGATATTCTGTTATTGTATATTGATATGACCTCTTTGTAGGTTAAAATGATTTTTTGTTTTGTTTTGTTTTCAGAACACTGCTGCATCTTTTGAAAGAAAATAGAAAAAACACAGAAAGAAAAGCAAAACTGGGGTGTACCAAAATCAACTCACACTATCGCCCTTATTCACAGCACTACTTATGCTCCCAGAAAAATAAAAGTTAGGCAAGCACTAGTTAGACCTATTATCCCTAATTAACACTAACCTCATGCTGGCTACTTTTCTATTGCTGTAACCTCTGCAGTGTCCTAATTCTTGTAGTAAACCCCTATCTTGTGCTCTTTGTCCTACTGCCAGTTGTACACTACTGTATAATCTGCAGTCTTGGTTCTTAATGAGAGTCTTATAGTTTTATAGATAATTTTGCATCTGGAGAACATCCTCCCAAACAAAGGGACATTTTCTATCTGCTAGTCAAAGCAGGCCTATTACCAGCTGATTAAACAGCACGTGTTGGTGCCAAATAGTGTTGCTTGAACACTTCCTATAACAGTAGTCCCATAGCAGTGCCATTATACATCAATAAGTGCTCCCATGACTCCTAAAGTGAAGTAAACTAATAGTGTAAAAAAATATAAAGTTTAATCACAGATTCAGATAATGTTTAATAATAATGTGACAGTACACATTTAAATATGAAAAACAGGCAACACCTAATATTCCACAAATATTCGTATGCAGGTGTGCAGCCTGAATGGCCAGGAACAGAAGGGTAGAGAACTTGGACCCACCTTCATGTGCCAGCCCAGATCACATGCTTTTTAACATGGGGGGTACCTTGAAAGGAGGGATGGAATAACCAAATGTGACTCTCAATTTCTAGCTGTCAATTTACATGACTTCAGTCAGTTGGGTTCTGTCATTTCATAATGGGAGTTTGGAGTTTACACATCAGCAGGTGACAGATCAGCAGGATTAATGCTGGATTTACATCTCCAAGCAGCATGATTGAATTGGATTATATTGTTAGACTCTATGGTTGGTATGGAATTACATATAGGGACATTAGTAAAAAAAATTTAAGCTGATGAGTATGTGTTTGAGTTTTATTGTAAATAAAGGACTTTTTTATGTATTTGTGTAATTATTTACTTTTAACTCTTTATGGGATTAGATAAGGGGTATTTTAAAAAAAGGAACTTCCAGAATCCACCATAAGCCGTTTTAGTAAATAACCCCGGCATTAAATGTTGTTGCTGAGATTGTCCATTAAAAATCATACTGGGGTTTACTTACTAAAGCTGGAGAGTGCAAAATCAGGCTCACTTCTGTACAGAAACCAATTAGCTTCCAGGGTTTATTGCCAAAGTTTAATTGAACAAGCTGAGGTTAGAAGCTGATTGGTTTCTACGCAGAAGTGAGCCTGATTTTGTACTCTCCAGCTTTAGTAAATCAACCCCACTGTTCCATAATACAACTTACAGCTTTAAGACACCCTCCAGTTTTCTTATTTAAAGGGCTTGTATATTTTTAATGTTGCTCTTGAAACTGCACAGAAAGATCCTCTTTAGCTTGCAGAAAAATGGGTAAAAGAAGTGATTCAGTGGTTGGAGTGAATATAGCTTTACTTCACTCACTAAGATAAGTGGCCATGCATGTTACAAAATTAACATACACATTACAAAATAAATATGCTTTATTTCATAGATATTTAGTAATTCAATCCCAATTATTAATCTTCTTAAATCTGAGCCACACAGAATATTAAACATCTGCAGAATACATATATTTATATTTTATGATTGAAGAGTTGCTGTGTTATAGAGCATAGCTTCTATAAAGGTGACATGTCAACAGCCCAAGTGTGGTAAAGCCAAGAGAGATTAAGGATCTTTCAGTTTGGCTAGAATAATTTCACAATAAAAAACTGTAATTTGAAAGCAAAAATATTTGTTACCAACCACAAAAATGATACTTAGAGAAAACATTTACTATTTTACTTATCGGAGATAGACATCAGTTGTACACATTGAAATAAATATAACAGTTGCTTATTTTCAGTGCAATGCAGTTTTACAGATATATGGATTGATAGTTTCACAGTGCATCAGTCACACTTTCACAGCACAGGCTGATACAAGTATAAAAGCTTCATTTTCAAGGATAAATAGGGAGTACTATTATCTCAACTGGGTAAAATTTAACATCCTTGTGGTTTGTGGTAATTTTTATATGCCTGCTGGCTTTTCAATAAAAATCAATTATGCCTAAATGTGAGCGGTAGTCAACATACTACAAACTATAAATTCAATTTCATACTCAGAAATATGGATTAGGTGAACCTGATGCCCTTCCATTGATTTGAGAAAGCAAAACCTGATAAAGTAAATAAGAGTAAGATGCTCTCTGACATTCTACATCAAGTTACAGATTTCCATATTATTTTTGCAAGAAGTTTACTGCTAGTATAATAATCTTCTTTTGAAATATTTATGATGGTTTTATATTATAGATTGCTGAATCATCTCAATGCACATGCATTTATGCATTCCTACCCATATTTGTGTGTTTATATACAGTAGATATTTTTATATATATATATATATATATATATATATATATATATATATATATATATATTATATACAGTGTCTAAAATATTTCTTTCACCCAAAGCAAGCATTGTGGGCTGTGTAAAGAAAGAGAGCACAGCATTGCATAACAAACTCTAGGTGGCCCTACTCTTTTCTGCCACTGGTTGTGTGTCCTGTCTGGCCACCTGCCTTGCCACCGAGCACCCCACTGTTTACTCTGGAGCCCTGCCAGAGGGTCAGCACTTTGGGTCATATGCTGAGGCTGCTATTGATGCCATCTTGGCTAGGGTGGATGTTGAAACTGCTGCAGTATTGACAGAGAGGCAAGACAGACAGTGGAGGAACAGCAGACAAAAACTCCTCTTGAGTTTGCTGGGCTGCTGCTGTTTCAACTGGGGAGGCTGTGGGAGCAGCTGAAATTTTGTCAGAGGAACAAGCTAAGCAGTAGCAGTGTAGCAAACTAAAACTACCCATGGAGATCTCATGTTCAGTTGAGTTTGCTGGGGATGTTGCTATAGGTGTCCTTTTATCATGCAGCGGTAAATGATCGCTGTTCAGTTCTCCGGCATTCTCAGAGGAGAGAGTTCTCCTCTGAATGCCTTTTTATGAAGCGGTGTAGATCGCTTCTCCGAATGAGGAGAGATGGGATCTACAAATGCTTTGAACTCTAGAAAACAACTGCTGTTACTGTAATCTCACGAGATTACAGTAAGAAATCAAACACAGTTTTACTGTAAATTACCGCTGATTTGTTTTCGGTTCCCCCGATTCTCCACCTCTGGGCTGGAGAATCTGGAGGGAGAACACAGATCGCCAGTGAAGGGCTGACATCGCTCCTTCATATACTGACCATCTGTGTGCTGAGATGATCAGCGGAGAACATGTTCCCACTGATCATCTCTGTTTCCTAAACCACTAATGTTCTGAGAGATCAGCAACGATCCTTAGGATCGCCGCTGATCTCTGTTTCATAAAAAGACACCTTAGTGACCAGAGGAACTGTTGAAGGTGCTGCTGTTTACTAGGGAGAAAACAGAGGAAAAGGAGGCATAGGAAACAGAAACAGGATATGAAAATTAGACAGGAGGCTCACCCATATATATCTGTGTTGCCAAGACCTTTCTTTAGTAATTGCCTTTCTTGTACTTTCAGATTGAGGTTTACTACACACAGATTGAAGAGTTGTGTGATTGGCATCACAGAGACCTGGCTGGGTGGTTCTTTCCCTGAAGAGGCCATTTAGCTGACAGGCTGCTCTGTCTATCAATCAGATAGGACTGTGGACTCTGAAAAGGCAAAAGGAGGTGGTCTGTGAATATATGTCAATAATAAATGGAGAACAAATTTCAAAGTGCACTTTTCAACAAGGGAGAACAATATTTTAGATCAGGTATATGCAGGTACATACAAAGCTACTTTGTTGCCACATCTTGGCCTAGCAAATCATGCCTGCCTCCAAAATGATGATTCAGTGTTTTAAAGTGTCACTAAACCCAAAACAGTAAAATCAGTCTTTAAATGCAGTAAAGCATGCTTGATATACTCATTGTGGAACCTAAGGGGTTATTCCTCTGCATTGTCGAAAAAGACTGTTTGATCCTGGCTTCTCTGATACTTCCCTTCTTTCAGTGCCCCCCTCTTATCTCCTAATAAGACATATCATGTGGAGACACTCTGCACATGCACCATATGGTTGTAAAGAGCTGAGCAAACTGTTGGCGCTATATAAATCCTGTATAATAATAATAATAATAATAATAATAATATGGTGTGTATTGCTAGGGAGGTTTTTTTTTCTTGAGAGAGAACATGGGATCAGCACAGGGCCAATCAGCACTGTCCAGACAGAGGTCAGGGGTTCTGCATCCTCCTAGAGCAGAATAAAACTCCTACAAGCTTTAACCAGTGCTCTGCTGGACACCGGTAGAGGTCACAAGACTGCTCTAACTGCTGATGCGAAAATGTATTTAGCAGTTTATATTTACTAAAATAATTGCATTTCCATGTAGTGTGTACTGTGGGAGAATGAATGCAGGGTCCTGGGTTTAGTAACACTTTAAGTCTCTTAATTGTAGAACAAGGCCAACTTTTAAAGCCATACAGGTTTGTAGTGAGAAGGCAAATTCATCATTGCAAGAGTGTTTTGAATTGACAGACTGGAATGTATTTGCACTGGATGCAGATTTAGAATTTGCATTGGCAGTAACATGCTTAAAGGATGTGATATAATTTTTTTGTTAGGCAACTGTAAAGCATTGCACCCACAATCAGCAGATTGCGGGTGTAATGCCATGGTCCTGCAGACTGTCTTTGTATCTGTTCTCCCCGTTCCTCTGATAAGGGCAGGCAGTTACACTCTGACGGGAAGCTCAGTGAACTACCTAGAGTGCCCAACAGTGCCCTGGTAGTTTATTGACAACTACAAGCTGACATCTGCAAATACTGTTGGGGCTTGTAGTTTTTACATTCACAGAACACTATGAATCAATGATGCAACCTATAGGGCCTTGTGATGCAACCTATAGGTGGATAGGGCCTCGTGAGGCCACATTTTTTTTAGATGGTGACAGCAAGTGGGGGAGAAGATCACCCAGCTGCCACAAGAGGGGATTTGAGGGGGAGGGGATACAGAGGCTGGTGAATATGGGCCCTGGATATGGGTGTAACATGTTACAAAGGTGAACTTATCCTTTAAATGACTATTGTCCAGTTGCTCTAACTCCTATCACTTAAAGTAACATTTTAGGGCAAGCATTCCTGTTGATCTTGACAACTATCAGTTTGCCTATTGTCCAAATAAATGAACAGACTGTGCAATTTCTATTGCTTTGCATACTGCTTTGACACATCTGGAGCGCTTAAACACATATGCTAGGATGAAATGTTTCCCGGGATCACACACCAATATAGTGAATGACTATAACGGTGGCTATATGGAAACACTTGATGTGCTCTTACCAGTGACCCAGCGCCCAGCAACTGTGTTTGAACTGGCCGTTATATCTGACAGCAGCATGTGTGCTGCTTTTCATACAATATATGTTAGGAGGTCATTCATCGATTTTAGTTCAGCATTTAACACCATAGTCCCTAACAAATTAGTGAGGAAGTTAAATTCTTTGGGTGTATATCCACTGCTGTGCTCATGGACTATGAATTTCCTAACAAATAGGCCATAAATAGTGGGAATAGTAGATCAAGTGTCTCACACAATTATTCTGAATGCGATGGTACCAGTGAGATGTGTGTTGAGTCCAACTAACACTAAATGAAAAATAAATAAATAAATCACCAAGCTATGTGAAATGAAGTGAACCCCCAAAACAGTAATAATAACCAAAACTACTGTATACATAAATAAATGTGAATCCAAAATAACGTCCATGTGATAAAGTCTATATTTCAACGCTAAAGAATCCAATAATGTTTCCACATGCTCACAAATCCCCCTTGAGTAAATGAAAGGCTTGGCAAATTATTTTGATTCCCTTTTTTCAGTGAGTCAAATAGTAATTTTTCATAAAATACGGTATCTGGCAGGATTTTTAGATCTCTCCCTTCTTCCACCAGATATGGACTCACCATCAGAAAGTAATCCTATTCCTCTTATCCACTTCCCTTCAGTGTGATACTGGCATTAAAATATAAGCAACTCCATAATGTATCATGCCTCAATAATCATAAAACACATACATATCTACTCACACAGCAAACAATTAAACTAAAACTCCCCAACCTTCAATATTGAAAGTAGAAGGCTCACCAGAAATTTCAGACCTCCTGATTAGCAAGTCATAAGAATACACTCCCCAAATTTGAAAGGATTAGTTGCTGAATTCTTTACTGACACATGCCTCTTTTCCGCAAAGTCATAGATCTCCACTTCTGGGATTCCTCCTCCATGGGGCTCTGCTAAAAAGGAATCTGTCAGTAAAGAAGAGAGCTAATCACATTTGTAAGCATAACAAATTATTTTGATAACATTAGTTTTCATATACTGTATATATAAATATATATATATATATATATATATATATACTAAATATAATCTAATGGCTACAATGCTTTTGCATTAAAGCAGGAGCTGTGCTTTATTGAAAATTTGTAAAAATAAACAATTGAACATAAATTTAAACTAAAAGTGTTCTTTAAAGCGGAGTTTCACCTGAGAAAAAAAAAAATAAACAAAAGTCAGCAGCTACAAAAACTGTAGCTGCTGACTTTTAAAATACAGTCACTTACCTGTCCCTCGGTCCTGCAATGTCCTCACCACTGCTGGCTTCACCAGCCGTCTTCTCTCCCTGGCACCAGCATCTTAAGTGTGGGCACCCAGCTGTGACAGCTTGTGGCTTCACAGCCGGGTGCCCACTATGCATGTGTGAGAAGAGCTGTGCTTTGTGAATGGCCTGTCACATGTCCCAGAAGACTATGGGGAGGGAGTGGGGGACAACTTCCGCTGAGATTGCCTATTTGATTGGAAGTGGGAGCTGGTACCTGTCAAATTGGGGTACCCGCTCCCCACTCCCCAAAGGTGCCAATCCTTATTGGTGAGCAAAGGCTTAAAGCAGAACTTCCCCTTTTGGGTAGAGCTCTGCTTTAAGTGCTCCTATATCTGCTATAGAATTTTTAACTTCAAAGTGTAATTGAGGAAATCCTACTGAAAGGAATATTAAAAGTAATATTTGGAATGTTTTATGTTGTGGAAATCAAAAGTTTTCATAAACATAGATACTTTTGATATTGATGATATGAATTGCAAAATGTTTCTGTAACTAAACCTGTAGTATGGTAGTTGCAATATATTTACCTTATTCCGGTATGTTATTTTCTTAATTAAAATGTTTTCTTTTCCATTATTCCCTTCTCCTATTTCTGCTACTGCCTTACAAAGCAATCCTGTTATTCTCCTACCTCAAATCAGATCCCTGGGCCTCCCACTGCTTCAAAAAATGTTCCAGATGCCTTAAAATCAGACCACCTTCCCCATTCCTTTTTAAATTTACCCATACAACCTTCATCTATATTATGGGTGTCAAACCATCCAGCTGTTGCCAAACTACAAGTTTCATGAGGCATTGCAAGATTGACAGTTACAAGCATGACTCCCAAAGGCAGAGGCATGATGGGACTTGTATTTTCCTAACAGCTGGAGGGCCGCCAGTTTGACACCACTGATCTATATGGTATAACTCCTCCATCCTATTTACTGTATATATTCCACCTTGTCTAACCAGTTCCTCATTGTTGACGGCTCCTGTACTTGCCAGAACTTAGGAATAAGCTCCTTGGCTACACTAATTACATGGTATAATACATTATTTTTTATACTGCTTCACTGGTTCTTCTGTCTTATAAAACAAACACACCCATGGATCCTTCTGTATAGCTTTCCCTGATATCTCTTGTATGAACTGGATTACTTCTTGCCAATGCCCCTGTATTTTTGGACATACCCGCCATATATGTGCCATTGTTCCCTTAGATCTACATCCCCTCCAACATAATGGTGAAACTTCTGCTCATTGTTTATGTACAACGGTGTCAAATACCACCTCGTTAAACATTTATAATTAATTTCAACCATATTCATGTTAACCACCCCTTGTATTAACTTAAACATTTTATTTTTCTGTGATTCATTCATCTTTGTTCCTAGTTCCCTTTCCCATTTCTCTAAGAACGGCGGAGGACCAGCCCCCCCCCCCCTTCCCCCCATTATGTTATTTTCTTTAATATCTATGTCTAAATTAAATTACCCTTCATTTTAATTTTTGTTTCTTAAAACTTAGAATCAGGGAATATGTGGAAAAAAGTTGACCACAAAAGGAATGATTGGAATTAAATTATTATTCTATGAATTGTGTTTAATGGAAACACATTCTCAGATCTGAATTAGTCATTTATTAACTGTTCTGGTCACCAGTTTTCTCCTATGATTTTTCACATACTCCATAATGTTCTATTGGGGACCTAGAACATGCTATTCAAAAGAAACAAATATTGAAGGCACAAAGGGTCAAGGGCTTTCATGGTTGATATTCACAAAAACATAGATTAAATTCAGCAACCTACAAAACACTATCAAGAAATTTGCAGTTTAGAATATTTAGAATGTTCTCACTCAGGCATATTAAAATGTGCCAGTGTGTCCTGTGACGGACGCAGCATCAGACCCCCAGCCCTTCTCACCAACTTGTGACCGAAGGACTAGCCAATCTAAAACCATGCTGTCACATGCGTAACAATGCCACGCTCAGCTGCAACCTGCACAAAGATTTTCCAGCTCACTGGACCACAATCTATGTGCTGCAGCCTGAGAGCAATTGTTACTGGGTCAGGTTAATTACGCAATTAACCCTTCACGCTGCCACCTCCGCCTTTTTGTACAGAGTAGGAGGAAACTCTCAAATCTTAGCAGTAACACTATGATGTTTGAATACACGTCTGTATACACACTGTCACCTCAGGCATATGTATGCAGAAGTTTAAAACACACAGTAGCGCTCTTCAGAGACAGGGATTCTTAGTTTGCATTAAAGAGCTTTAGAAACAGTCCACCTTCCGTTGCAGCTCAGCAATTGGAGACCGCTTAAACAGCATATGAAAGGCCCTTTCAAGCTCATGTTCCAAAGTCTGCTGATGTTGGTCCCGTTCCTTACACTGCCTGGAAGCCAGCTGTATGATATGACTCCTAATAACCACTTTATAAGCTTCCCAAAGAGTAACAGAGGAAGAGACCATATTTATTCTGATAATCCAAGGAATGGATCTGAACATCCTCAACTACAGAGTAAAAAGAGAGAAGGGAATCATTAAGATACCAGGAGAGAGCTCGTGGACACTGAGAGGGAACTGAACACTGCTTGATAATGGGATCATGGTCAGACCAAGGAACCATAGGAATCCTCATCGAGAATAAATGCGGGAGAAAAGAAGGGACCATAAAAACGTGATCAATAAGAGAATGGCTAGAAGTGGGATGTAATTC